TAAATCTCTTTAGTCCAGTTCTCCTTTGAACCTGTTTGTGACAGCTTTCTGGTTCCATCATGAATGAATGAATTAAACATTTTGATATGTGTTTATTCTCTTTGTATATGAGCATCATGATTTTACCTTTTTTTTTTTTTTTAAGAAAAAGTTGTCTTTTAAAACTGTTGTTGTTTAGTCACAAAGGTGTGATTGACTCTTTTGCAACCTCAAGGACTGTAGCCTGCCAGGCTCCTCTGTTCATGGGATTCTCCAGGCAAGAATATTGGAGTGGGTTGCCATTTCCTTCTCCAGGGGAATCTTCCCCACCCAGGGATTGAACCGGCCTCTCCCACATTCTGGGCGAATTCTTTACTGCTGAGGCACCGGGGAAAACTAGGGCAGGAAAAATTATGTTTTTCCCTCTACTCACCTAAGTGTTCAAGCTGGGGCACTGTCAGTTAGATTGAAAAAAGGCAGGTTAACAAGAAAAAAGCAAACAGTATTGTGTAAATAACACCTGGGCATACCCAGTGATGAGTAACTCAAAGAGGTGGTTAGAACTAGGGCTCTGTATGTTTACATAATTTAGTAGGGGAAGGGAGGAGTAGAAAGGGCACTTATGGAAGAGCAAATGGACACTTAGAAGAACAGATGGGAGATATGCTGGTTTGTGACATAGTCTGGGTGAGATGCCCACCTCTGCTCTCCCAGGAGGGAAGATTAGAGTTGCCCTGGGAAAGGGGATTTAGGGACACTCAGATTCTTTGGGGAGGCTCTGCTTTTAGGCAGATAAGGGATTTCAGGAACTCAAGTGCATTCAGCTGAAATTAATCCTTGTGCATATGCAAAGTGACATATTTGGAGGTGGCATGTCCTGGTCCCCAAAATTATAAAAGTCATTTCTTTGTATTGTTATCATCTCTAGAATAGTGCCAAGTGTAGAGTATGTTTCAATTAGCGTTTATTAAATAAAAGATTGCAGGGTTGCAAAACTGGACAACAGACATACATAAAATCAGTATGAGGCTTCCCTGGTGGCTCAGTGGTAAAGAATCCACCTGCCAATGCAGGAGATACGGGTTTGACCCCTGGGCTGGAAAGATCCCTCATGCTGAGGAGCAGCTAAGCCTGTGCGCCACAGCTACTGAGCCTGTGCTCCAGAGCCCGATAGCCACGACTACTGAAGGCTGCCCACCCTAGAGGCCATGCTCTGCATCAAGAGAAGGCATTCACAGTTAGAAGCCCGACTACTGCAACTAGACAGCAGCCCTCGCTCTCCACAGCTAGAGTTAAAGCCCACACAGTGACAAAGACCCAGCCCAGGCAAAACTAAATAAATAATATAATTATTTTTAAGTTAGATAAATAAATACATTCAGAATGGCCTGAAGGATCTCCCAGACAATGCCCAGAATTACAGAAAGGGGACCCAGCAAACTGTCTGCCCAACATCTTGACTTTCACAATTTTTCCTCACATAAAAATGGTGCCAAGACATGCTATGGATGACAGCAGAGACCATTCGAAGCTTGTGTCATATCAGGACGTTTTCATAAGGAATCTTAACATTAACTTGGGGTTTAAAATAATGAATAGGGATTATTTGGGGCTTCCCAGGGGGCTCAGCGGTAAAGAACCTGCCTGCCATGCAGGACACGTGGGTTCGATCCCTGAGTCAGGAAGATCCCCTGGAGGAGAGACCAGCAATCCACTCCAGTATTCTTGCCCAGAGAGTCCCCATGGACAGAAGAGCCTGGCGGGCTATTGTCCATGGGGTTGCAAAGAGTTGGACACGACTGAGTAACTAAACAACAACAAAAAGCTTATTAATACATTATTATATAGGGTAGTTTGGAGAGGACAGACATCTATAGCCAGACAGCTGGAAGTATAAAAATGGAGTTCAAAAATGTGTTGGTGTCTGGACTTCCCTGTGGTCCAGTGGCTAAGGCTCCATGCTCCCAATATAGGGGGCCCAGGTTCGATCCCTAATCAGGGAACTGGATCCCATGTGCGACAGCTGAGTGTTTACGTGCTGCAACTAAGAACTAGTACAGCCAAATAAATAAATAAAAATACATATATTTTTAAAATGTGTTAGCGATAGAGATAAGGATGTCAGAATTATCATAATAGTTGTATTGGTTGAAGTGAGGGGACAAAATCAAATACTGAAAACATTTTAAGTCATATTATCTATTACCTTAATTTTCGTTTACTTGATTGGCCGGCATTTTGTCCCTCAAAAGACTGTGAGGCCCTTGGGGTAGGAACTATGTCTTATTCATGATTGTTTTCCAGAGCCTGGCAAAGTACCTGATGTGGGCACTCAGTAAATATTTGGTGAAGAAAAAGAACATACAGAGAAAGGAGAAAACACTTTTTTTTCAGAGAGGTGGTAAGAGCAAAATGGATGATGCTGAAATGTTCTAATATAATGGTGAGAGAATCTATGGCCATTTTGTTGGATGGCTCCCGGTCTTTTCAGGAAGGCATTTCCTGAGCTGCAGAGTGTCACGTGATTGACAGCAGGGTTCAGGGCTTAGAGTGGAACAGTTTGGAACAGCTGAAGCCAGAAATGTGCTCAGGGGACTCCCATGTGCTTGCTTTTTTTTTTTTTTTTTAGTGCTGTTCCATGTGTTTGGAATGCACCCTCTGGCAATCATTGCCCTGCCTCTCTCATCTCTTACTTGGCCTACTCAGCTTTCAAAGCCTAACTCAAATGCCACCGACTTTTCTGGGAACATTCTCTCTTGATACTATTTCAAGTTAGTCATTCCTTTTTCTATGTGTATACTTCTCTCCTTGTTAATCCCACTAGATTATAAATTACTTGAAGATCAGAAGAGAGTTTTACTTCATCTGAATACCCTCCTCCTGACCTGGTGGGGAGCAGTCATTCCATAAATGTTTGCTGATGTTTAAATCAAGTAAGTTTAGGAATATGCTTGCTAAGTGGCAGCAAGGGCATAACGGAAGACAAGATCAGCATGGTTTTTGTGATTAGTAGGAGGTGATGGGGACTTCCCTGGTGGTACAGTGGTTAAGACTTCATGCTCTCAATGCAGGGGGCATGGATTTGATCCCTGGTCAGAGGCCCAAGATCCCACATGCTGCATAGCTTGGCCTAAAAAAAAAAAAAAAAAAAAAAAGGCAATAAAAACAACCCAGGTGGTGATGGATAACAGAACCAGGAAATGTTTCAAGAACTACAGGTCATGATGCTGTGTGCTTCTTCGCTCAATTGTGTCCGCCTCTTGTGATCCCATGGATTGTAGCCTGCCAGGCTCCTCTGTCCATGGGATTCTCCAGGCAAGAATACTGGAGTAGGTTGCCATTTCCTTCTCCAGGGGAAATATTCCTTACCCAGGAATCCAACCCAAGCCTCCTGAATTGCAGGCAGACTGTTTACTGACTGAGCTACAAGGGAAGCCCTCGTACAGGTCATGATGCAGGCAGATGAAAATTCAGGAAAAATCATGATTTTTTTTTCTGTTGGGGAAATCTAAACTTTGGTCTCCCTAGCAGTGAAAACAATGACATGAAGCACATGTGTATTTTATGGAAGGAAAAGACATAGTTTCTTCCCACCTAGCTTACTCTTACTAATACACAGTGAATCAAAAAGAAGGAAAGTCACCAATGATTCCCTCAGTATCAGACCTGGACTGTAACATTAACTTCTATTCCTTAACTTCAGCTGGTCTCTGAACTTCCGTAAAAGCAAAACACATCTTTTTGTTTCACATTTTCTCCCTCATTTCCAGACTTTCAGGAAGAGCAGTTTATGAGCAGTGAAATGAATGCGGGTGGGGAAAGGAGAGGTAATCGTGATAACCAGAACAGTAAAAAGAATGGCTTCAGATGGCCACGTTCAAACCCTGGTTCTGCTACCTGCCTGTAAAATGGGGACAGATAATGCTTGCTTGGAAAAACTGTGTGAGAAATAAACTAGATGTAAAAGCACTTAGCACAAGGAGTGTATGTACCTTGACCAGATCTTGTGCAAGTGGTAGGAAATGCAAAGTGAGGAAGAAAGGTATGCAGGGGAAAGGTAAGACTCCTCCCCTCCCTAGCTTCTGTTCTCTCCATTTCCCTCAGAGTCAACTCTGGAGACCATTCTGTGCATTTACTTCTTTCCTGGGCTCAACTGTGAGAACTAGAGTCTGTTCCCTTACTGCACAGGGAACTATACTCAGTATTTTGCAATAACCTATAGGGAAATCTGAAGATTTTTTTATATACATAAGTATATAATGTATAAGTCCACATTATATATATTTATTAAGTTATATAAATATATATTTTATATATATAAAATATGGGCTTCCCAGGTGGTGCTAGTGGTAAAAAAACCTGCCTGCCGATGCAGGAGACATAAGAGACCTGGGTTCGATCCCTGGGTTGGGAAGACCCCCTGGAGGAGGGCATAGCAACCCACTCCAGTATTCTTGCCGGGAGAATCCCCATGGACAGAGGAGCCTGGTGGGCTACAGTCCATAGGATCACACAGAGTCGAACACGACTGAAGCGACTGAACACACACATACACTTATACATAAAATATATGTATGATTATATATATAAAATCACTGAATATATATATTATATAAATCTATATATTAAATTTATATATTATATAAATCACTGAATCACTGTGCTGTACTTCCTGAAACTAACATGATATTGTAAATGAACTATACTTCAATAAAAAAATGCATATGAAATTTTAAAAATAAAAATAAAATTCCTCACCTCTAAAATGGAAATGTTCTGAGCATTTAATGGAACAATTACTCCTTTATAGTTAAAAGGCTGCACAAATATAAGGAGCTGTTATTCTCAGGAGAGGGAAGGCCTAGACAAACACAGTGGATTTAATTTTGTCTAGAGCAGAGGTCTCCTGGACTCAGCCCCAGGCTTGAGTGCTCTGCTCCACTTCCTTTCCTCATCTTGCCCGTAGCAGGAGGGGAGGCTGAGAGCCATACAGCGTGACTCTGCCTCTGTCTGTCCCACAGGTGATCACTTACTCCAGCCATCACGTCTACAATAACTTGACTGAGGAACAGAAGGGCCGAGTGGCCTTCGCTTCCAATTTCCTGGCAGGAGATGCCTCCCTGCAGATTGAGCCTCTGAAGCCCAGTGATGAGGGCCGGTACACCTGCAAGGTGAAGAATTCAGGGCGCTATGTGTGGAGCTACGTCATCTTAAAAGTTTTAGGTAAGACAGAGTGCCCCAGTAAGTGCCTACATCTTATTAATAAGGGATAGGCAAATGCATCACAGTGGTAGAAACATCTTCAATACTTCATACTTTTAAAAAATTATTTTCTTTGTTTATTTTTGGCTGTGCTGGGTCTTCGTTGCTGTGTGGATTTTTCTACAGTTGCAGCAAATAGGGGCTACTCTCTAGTGTTGGTGTGTGGCCTTCTCATTGCAGTGGCTCCTTTGGCTATAGAGCATGGACTCTAGGGTGCGAGGGCTTCAGTACTTGCAGCGCCTGGGTTCTAGAGCACCGGCTCAGTAGTTGTGGCACACAGCTTGTTGATCCGAGGCATGTGGGATCTTCCCGGATCAGGGATCGAAGCCATGCCTCTTGCACTGGCAGGAGGATTCTTTACCACTGAGCCACCAGGGAAGCCCGCAATACATTGTATTGTACAGACATCACCTAGTCCAGTTCCCTGGGGAAAAGCGTGTATATTTTGTATTTTAGCCATAATGAAAGAGAATCAATTTTCCATGGTAGCTCATTGTGCTGTGCTTAGTCATTCAGTTGTGCCTGATTCTTTGTGACCCCATGCACCCACCAGGCTCCTCTGTCCTTGGGATTTTTCAGGCAAGAATACCGGGGTGGGTTGCCATCTCCTCCTGCAGGGGATCTTCTTGACCCAGGGATTAAACCTACATCTCCAGTGTCTCCTGTGTTGCAGGCGGATTCCTTATCCTCTGAGCCATTGAGGTAGCTCATTACAAGAGTTAAATGCCCTCTCAAGTTTAAGTAGTATCCTCACAGTGAAACAAATCTCTCAGATCCGATTCAAATCCATTTCTTTGTTTTGTGACACAGCAAAGAGTCTAACTTCTTAACTGCTTCCAAGTTCATGAACTTCTGTCCCTGTTTCAGTGTTAATAAAATCACACTGGCACTTTCCTGGTGGTCCAGTGGTTAAGACTTCTTGCTCCCGGTGCAGGGGCCTGGCTTTGATCCCTGGTCAGGGAACTAAATCCTATGTGCCACAACTAAGACCCAGCACAGCCAAATATATAAATATTTAAAAACATAAAGTAAAATCACACTCAACTTTCCTAAAATTTCCAATTATAAAAGGTTTTTTGGACTTCTCCATTGGTCCAGTGGTTAGGACTCCGAGCATCCACTGCAGGGGGCACAGGCTCAATCCTGGTCAGGGAACTAAGATCCCACAAGCCTGGCAGCATGGCCCCCCCCAAAAAATAATGCAGATTCCTGGGCCCACAGTGAGTCCCACTGAGTCCAAGTAGGGCCCCAGGAATTAGAAAAAAAGATCAAAATATTTTTTTCTTTGAGAAGTGATGAGGGAGTTTCTGAGGCAACCTCTCTAAGTTACATTAGCAACACTGGAAACAGCTGGAATTGGCTGTGAATGTGTGCAGGGGATGGAAGTGGGTATATTTTGGGGAGTGAGATGTAAAGCACGCTAGGTAACAAAGAACTATTAAATCCAAACTCAAAAGTTGACCATTTGGAGGAAAAACAAGTCAACAGGATGGTGTTCACCGGTGCCAGGGGATCTTTGACTTCTTTTTTTTTTTTGCTAGTGAGACCATCAAAGCCCAAGTGTGAATTGGAAGGAGAGCTGACAGAAGGAAGTGACCTGACTTTGCAGTGTGAGTCATCCTCTGGCACAGAGCCCATTGTGTATTCCTGGCAGCGAGTCCAGGAGAAGAGGGGAGAGGATGAACGTCTGCCTCCCAAATCTAAGATTGGTGAGTCATCTTTTCACTGGTCCACGGAGACAACAGGACAGTTAGTCCTCTCTCAAAACCACTCTGAATCTGGTTTGGTCAGCACCTCACAAGGATCTTGAATATACTGCTGAACCTCACTGTTTCTATTTTTCACGCCTAACTGGGAACAGAAAAATATCTGTCTTTTCTTTCCCCAAATGGCAAAAATAAAAGTGGTAAGGAGATTAGGAATAAATGTACTCTATAAATCCATTCTAGTTATTGTGTTTAGTATCCCTTAAATGTTCAGAATCTTTTGTGACTTTTGAGGGTGCACTGCAGTTTAAAAGAATGTTCACCCCCTTTCTTCCCACATTCTGGATCAATTCTATCACCTCATCTTTAGCAAACTGTATCATAGGGTCTTAGGTCAGTGACACAATAAAGTAGACGATAAATACAGACCTGTCACTGGGGGATCACGGTCATCTTTCTGCTTGTGTAGACTACAACCACCCTGGACGTGTCCTGTTGCAGAATCTCACCATGTCCTCCTCTGGGCTCTACCAGTGCACAGCGGGCAATGAGGCTGGGAAGGAGAGCTGTGTGGTGCGAGTGACAGTACGGTGTAAGTACCCAAAGTGTTGATGTGGTTTTGTCCCTGCACTGTGGTTCAGTGTAAAACATTTTTAATCACAGGTAAGATTATGGTCAAAAGCTTCATCTCCAGAAGGACATGGTTATCACTGAAATAAATTCAGTAGTTGCCAAGGACTAGTCAACAGTTGCAGCTAACTCTAAATTTACAAGTATGTGTGAATTTTACGGCCCCCTAAAGAAATTTATTTTATCCATGAGGGAACCAAACAGAGGTTTCCTTTATAAATGCAAATTTCCCTTACAGCGGGTAACTTCTACTGTTTTCAGAGCTTCTCTAGTGTTGCTGTTGCTCAAAAATGATCAGTTTAGGGACTTCCCTAGAGGCCTAGTGGTTAAGACTCTGTGCCCAATGCAGGGGGCACAGACTCCATCCCTGATCAGGGAACTATCTAATAGATTATGCATGCTACAACTAAGATCCGGCACAGCCAAATAAATAACAAATATTAAAAAACCTAATCAGCCCCAAATAATCCTAATGTCAACAAGGCATATTTTAGGGTGACTCTCCTGCTCCCCATCGATATCAGGAGGGATAGTCATATACACCCAGAGAAGGTAAGTGGGGAACTCAGGGAGGCAGATATGAAGATCTGGAAATACTCATCCAAAGCTTTATGTATTTTAAGTCTATGTATTGCATAACTTCGGAGAAGGCAATGGCACCCCACTCCAGTGCTCTTGCCTGGAAAATACCACAGATGGAGGAGTCTGGTAGGCTGCGGTCCATGGGGTCACTAAGAGTCAGACATGACTGAGCGACTTCACTTACACGCATTGGAGAAGGAAATGGCAACCCACTCCAGTGTTCTTGCCTGGAGAATCCCAGGGATGGGGGAGCCTGGTGGGCTGCCGTCTGTGGGGTCGCACAGAGTCGAACGCGACTGAAGTGAATTAGCAGCAGAATTGCATAACTTATGTTTGGTTTTGCTTTGTTTCTGAGAAAACAGATGTACAGAGCGTGGGCATGATTGCAGGAGCAGTGACAGGTATGGTGGCCGGAGCCCTGCTGATTTTCCTCTTGGTGTGGCTGTTGATCCGACGGAAAGACAAAAAGAGATATGAGGAAGAAGAGAGACCAAATGAAATTCGGTAAATCTCTCACAGAATCCCCTTCCGCACCTAGGCTACCTTTCTAGGGCTAGCTCCATAATGACCAGCCACCAAAACTGTCCCATTTCCTCATAACCTTGAATCTGTTACAAGGATTATTCTGGCTGGTAAGGACTTGCAGCCCAGGGGCAGAAGGACGGTTTACCTTGACTGTCTTGTGAAACTATCTGCAACAGAGACTTTATCTAACTTCACGTTACTTCTGATTGCCTTCCACTTAAAAAGCCATACAATAAAGGAAGGGGCCTAGCCCATTCATGGGCCTTGAAAGAGTCTCTGAAGGCAGACTCCGAGTCAAGGGGAGTGCTGTGTGGACACCAGGTGGGGAGTTCCCGGACCCCCACCCCGCGTCCCAGTCACAGGGTTGACCTTGGGGATGCACATCCGCCTGGGCCCACGTGAGGGCTCAGGATGCAGGGGGAGTCCATAGTTCCCTAAGTGGTAACTCGAGGTTTCCAGCTTGAGGAGTTGATGGATGGGGCAGCCTCTGAAAGCCGCAGCCAGAGCGGAAACTTTCACAATCTTGTGATCCTGACATCTATCTTTGGTGTTTTTCCCCTTCAGAGAAGATGCGGAAGCCCCGAAAGCCCGCCTGGTGAAGCCCAGCTCCTCTTCCTCGGGCTCGCGAAGCTCTCGCTCCGGCTCCTCCTCCACGCGCTCCACCGCCAACAGCGGCTCCCGCAGCCAGCGGACCCCGTGCGCCGAGGCGGCGCGCCGGCCCGGGCTGGCCGCCCACGTCTATGGCCCTCTGGGGCCGGAGGCCAGAGGTTCTGAACCAAAGAAAGCCCCCCACGCTACCCTGACCAAAGCAGAAAACACCCCCAGCACGATCCCCAGCCAGAGCAGAGCCTTCCAAACTGTCTGAGTTAGAGCGGACTTGACTCACCGCCTTTTCCCAGGCGTCAGGGCTCTTCTGGTCATCGCCGCTCAGTCACCAGCCACACGACCCGCCTCGAGCCCAACGAAGGGTCATTTAAGTAGCAGCGACCACTGCACGGAACAGATTCAAATGAACACTTTTCTTACATGACACCAAACGAGGAAAAGGATGTAAGCTGTTCATCTCCAGAAAGGCACCTCACTGTGCTTTTAGACCAAAGTTGGGGGGGAAATGGGGGCCCAAATCTGGGTGTTTGGGGACCAGGAACCATGGTGAGAGAGTTGGGGAAAGGGGAAGTGAACACACTTAGAACTTCTCACTTGGGCAGTTTTATTTCAACACGTTGACTCACCATTGTCAAGAAATGAGGTGGTGTTCATAAATTTTCTATGCATTTCTGCAAACCTACTGAATTATTATGACTATTCAGAGTCAAGCAGAACCTACAGCCTTATATTACACCTATTTGCACCATGAGAAACTCCAAAAAAGGAAACACATCTCTTCTATCCTGACTTGACTTCATTTACCACAAAGTTTGGGTATTAATTTCAAGAGGAGTTGAAATAGTGGGAGATGGAGAATGACTGAATTTTTCCACGACTTACCGGTTGAACACCAATAATCCACTGTCAATCTTCCTACTTATATTGAACCATAAAAGAACTAAAAAAGGAGTTCAAAAACGTAATGAGGGACTGTGAATAACTTTCCATTTTAATGTTCAGAGGGCCATTGACAAATATCAGAAATATATGCTGGAATAATTGTGGATTTTCCCTCAAAGTGGATGTCTTTAAGGATTTTCTGCTGGGTATCTGTGAAGCAAGAAAACTAGGTGTTTTAACATTTAACAGTCTCCTTAGAAGGAAGTCTTTGAGAGAAAAGGTCTTTTCAGGATGCTGGAAGATTATCCAACAAACCATTATAGTCTCTTCTTTCTGCGAACGTATGAAATCAGAATTTCAAGACTGACTAGACCAGAAAGGAAGATTAGATCAGTTTTCTCTTAGTATGTCAAGGAGTGTCATCAGAAGTTCAGTACTGCACCAAACTTGGGAGTTTCCTCCATTTCTTTCCTTTCAGGAGAAGGATGTGAACATGGGACTTTTATTGATTCTAGGCCTTAAATTATCAAAGAGATCAGGGATTGTCAACATTTCCTGGTGGCACTGCATAGACATCATACCATTCCCTCCTGAGAGGCTGAGACAGACAGAAATTCAGTACTTTCCCAGTTTAGCCTGTAAGGAAGCCTAGCTCTAGGATGGAAGGAAAGGAAATAAACATGTAGGGAAGAGATGGTGAGGATAACTAGTGGGTGGCAGGGGGATCTGGGTTAGTGCCTGTTAAATATTGTCGGCATCTTGGAAATATTCGCGGAAATGATTCACCAGGATAGCTCTCACAGGAGCTGACTCATGAGAGAAGAAAGGTGGGGTCTGTGAAATAAAAAGAAAGCAGCCTCCCATACAATAACCTGCCTTTTTAATAGTTTTGACTACTCTGCTAGTCAAATTCACCCTACAATCCATTCTTTGGCAAGAATGCCAAACCTGAAATAGCCCTTCAAAGACTCTAAAGCAAATGTCAACAGGTCACACCACTGGTAGAGCAAAATGTTTATTATTATTAAAAGGCCAAGAAGTCCCTGGCAGGGCAGTGCTTAGGACTCTGCTTTCACTGCCAAAGGTGCAGTTTCAGTTGCTGGTCAGGGAACTACGGTCCTGATAGGTGAGTGGGACAGCCAGAAGTAATAAATAAATTAATTGATTAAACATTGTTAAAAAGGCAGCAGGCTATGAGAAAGGAAAAGTAGTGCTAAATGTGGTGATGAAATCCCTGTTTGTTTTGGGAATCTAAGTTCCCCAACCAGGGATCAAATCTGTACCCCCTGCATTGTGAGCAAGGAGTCTTAACCACTGGACCACCAGGAAAGTCCCGATGAAAGCCCTGTTTCTAAAATGGGAATCAGGTGCTTAAAGGGGAAAAGTAGACCCAGGATTTTGTCCCATTTTTGTTTTCATTTTTACTTCTAATTCTCACATACTACAAATGCATTTCTAAAGTCCTTTAAGAGGCGGGTTTTACCCTTGACTAAAAGTTTCGAGTTTTGTCTTCCTCTAAAAAAAAAAAGTTGGGGGAAATTCCCTGCAGTCCAGTGGTTAGGGCTCTATGCTTTCACTGCCAAGGGTGCTGGTTCAATCCCTGGTCAGGGAACTAAGAGCCCACAAGCAGCACAGCTCCGCCAAAAAGAGTTGGGAAATGAGACACTGAGGAAGCAAAGAACGTCTGCCATTAGTTTAAGAGGGCTGGCATATTTGGAATGCTTCTTATACTAACACTGCCTCCTTGTAAGATATAAATTTCTTATTTACTCCACCAACTTATTCTGGTTGTGTGGTGTCCAGGCGACATATCAATTCTGCTGTGTAATTCAGAGAATTCTCATTCCAAGAGTATCTGAGCCAAACAGTATTCTGTGGCAGCTGCAGCAGTGCCATCACTAGCAATTTGCTCTTATCATTATTTATTACCTTTGAACCTAAGGGTTCCTGCCTATGCCTCTGCAGGTGGGAGTCAGTCCCCTTTGCATGAAAAGGTTTAGATTAAACAGGTTAGTTATTAGAAGACTAAAATACCAGTTGAATATCCGTATTTTGGAAATCTATTCACACTGGAGATCTACAGAAATGCCACAGATTATTACCTGAAATCAGAAATTCTAGGAATTGAAGATTCTGAGATAAGATACTGAAGTGTTAATAGTGATGGTGTGCTTGCTTCTCTTTCAGTCAGGCTTTTGGGTTCAGATACGACAGGCTCGGGTTTAAAATAAAGTTTGAACCATTACTGGTGTCAAACCATATTCTGTTAACCTTGCAAGTCAAATACATTCAATTCTTTAATATAAAACAAAAAAGGATAAAATAGAGGGTAGAAGAAAAGGTATTTGTAGAAAGAAGATAGATGGAATGATGTGGATGTTTAGAGAATAGCCATTTCAATAAAATATATATACACTAAACTTAAAATTGTAAAATAATTAAGTGATGCCTTTCTTGTTACACCATATAAAAAGAATTTCAAAACTGCCATTGCAAAAAGACATAATTTTGCTTGATTTCCGGTGTTAAGCTGTTTATATTTCAATTTTAACTTCAAGTTGCCTTGTCAATGGGATTGTGTTTGATCACAAAAACCAAATATTTATTACTGATGCATCTGTGTCAGCAATTTAAAAATAAATAAGTGAAGGTGACACTATAGGAGAGGTTGAAGCTCATATAATCTGCACTGGAAATTTATTTATTAGCTTGCTGCCAAGTGAAGAAAAGAAGAACTCAGACTGCATATGATGTATTATTATTTATTTTAGTCACAAATAAATCAAGCACTTTTTTCTCACAAGGCAAGATACTAAGTAGTCCTGGACAGGCAAAGTGATGACAAAGTTCATGACAATTTCTGCCCTTAAGGACTTAATCAAAATAACAAATAATATTTAGTAAGCAATATTTTATGCCAAGGTGAAGTCCCAATAAAAAAGTACACACCAAGGGGTTCAAACAAATCTGGAAAACAGTTACCAAATTAAATGAGCTAACATACACAAAGCCCTTAGAATAATGATTGGCCTGTGACAGGCACTCAACAAATGTAAATCATAACCCTCTTCCCCAGCCAGAAGTCCTAGGGTTCAGACTCCAGTACTGACTGTAGCCCTTGAAACCTTGTGCATTTTAAAGAGGTGGAGACAGGACATTTATCATAATCCGAACTTTAAATACATAAACTGTGACTCATTCTAGTTAAAACGAAGAGTCTTTGAATCCTCGAACATGTTTTGAAAATGACCAGAGACCATAAAGGAAGCTTATCTGCTCAGCTTTCTGCAATCACTGCTATTAGGCGCAATTCCCCAAACCCGTGGAGTTGAGCCTTCATTCTATCTACCACTGCTTCATATATTGTAGGTAGTTCAGAGCTAAGTTTAAAAACCTGCAAAACGTAGGGTGTGGTTCACATTGTACTTGATAAATTCGGTGGGGAGAGGAAGTCTGCAGATGATAAAATTGAAAAAAAAGCCTGCCTCAGCACACATCTTTTGCTTTCTGCAGTTCGAGTTACATGAGCTTCCAGGAAGGAAATTACTAATTTCAAAACCAAATAATCTGGAATTAAGAGGTAGGCTCCACTCTAGCTCAGCCAGTTGTTTAACTTCCCACAAATAACATCTCTGAACCTCATTTCTCTCCTAACATAGCAATGAATGCTATGTCTCAAGGAACTGTCTTGATGATTAAATAACAAATGAAAGCACACTGTACCCCCATGAAAGCATCATATAAAAGGAGCTCCTTGAAAAATGGGGAGAAATTAGGTGTGTACCTCCATGGACTCAAGCCCACATTTCCCTCCAGAAGGCAAAGAAAGAAAGAAAATCCTTTGATCCAATATTCGACTCTGTCTCTAGGCTTTACTGGCTTTGACAAGGGCAAGGTAACCCCTTTCAGCCTCTAAGTCTGGAAACGTCTCTAATTCCAGCCACACCACTGAAAGTTCTGCTAGGCAGTCTTAAAAAACCCTTTTCACCTATTTGTGCCCACTCATCTACTAAACAGGAACAGTACAGTCTGTTTGAAAGAGCACACTGGAAAGCATTCAACATGGTGAGAAAGGCTTAACAAGGCCCCAACCACCACATCATGCACCACAATTTGAAATTCTAGGTACCCTGTTTTATGCGCTCCACTCGTTCAGTAACATTTTCAACACCTCTCTGCCAGGTCGCTCGGATAGTTTTTGACGAAAGTCACGGCAGGAAATGTATTACCTCATATTACCGAGAACAGGAGGCTCAGGAAGTCTAAATACAAGGACATGGGGCTACCGGAAGCCAGGTTCCCAACGCCTGGATCATTTACAAGGAGAGAACTCCCTAGTTTTTCTTTAAAAAAAACGAAACTGAAAAGTGCGGGGGGCGGGTGGAGGAGGGGCCAAGCCAAGAAGCCCCATCTATTCTCGGCGGGAGATTAGGGGCGGCAGAGGCATCAGCGCTCCAAAAAGCGAGTTTGGCCGTCTGTTTCGCTGAGGATCCAGACACAGCATCCGACCCCGGAGGTTAGAAGTCGAACCCCTCCAATCTCTGCGTCGGGGTCAGCCGGCCTCCAGCTTCCATGAAATGAGGTGCTAGGGGCCTGCGCGGCTAACCTGTCACACCCTGCGGAGAGGCGAAACCCGCAACTTCCCTTCCTTCCGCCACGGCGGCTGGCCGGCTCCTTCCATCCCTAGATCTGGGTGCCACTGGGCAAGTTACCCTCCCAGCGCCCTGGGGTAGGAACGTCCGACTCCGCCGCTTTGAATCAGCCCTAGACTAGAGCCACGGTGGCTATGTGGGTGTGTGGCCTCCGGGAGGTCCTAGAAAATCACCCGTAAGGCCAAGGTGGGAGTCGGGCAAGAGAATGGTGGGGGAGGGGCGCAACCTTAGCCGCCATTTTGTCCTCGCTCCACTTCCGTCTTCTCTCCCCGGCTCCCGCGGCCGGACCCCTCCCTGCAGGCCCTGCGCTCTAGCTCCTGTGGTTCCGCATGAGCGGGATTGCGGGTCGCTCTGCTCTTATTGGCTGGATCCAGATTGGCCCGCCCCGCTTCCTCCCCCTCCTTCCGTCCCTTCCGCCTGCGCTTTCTGGGGACGCATGCGCAGGGGCAGACGCGCCCTTCCTCCCCACCGCAGCCCTCCGCCAGGGGTGACTGAGGACTCCCGCGCGCGGGCTCCGTCGGCCCCACCCTCCCTTTCCCCGGGGCCATTCGGAGAGCGGGGGCGAGAATGAAAGTTCCAGAACGCTGCGGTGAGTGCGTCACCGCGAGGCGGGGCGGGCTGCGGTCGTGAGAGGGAGGCCTGAGCGCTAGAGCCGGGTTCGTCATTGGGTCTTGTGGAGGTGGCCGCGCCCCCATTGGCTAAGGAAGATATGATGGGCACCGGCAGGGGTGGGCCCCTTCTGGAAGGTTCTGAGGCAGGGTATAAGAGACGGGGCGGCGGGCGGAAACCGGTCTCATTGGACGCACCGGCAGCATTCCAGATTGCTGACTTCTTCAGCACAGCCGGCCCTACGCTTTTAGTAAGTAAGGCCTACGTGTTTTTTCCTTGGATGGTTTCTTGGGAGCATGTAGGCCGCTGCAGGCTGCATGGATTTGCGGCGGCTCGGGACTTTGAGCATCTCAGGCAGGGGGTGGTGTGTGTGGCAATTCTTTTGCCTGGATTGGGGGGCTTTGTTGTCGTGGGGAGGCGGCAGCCCAGTGTTCCTATAGGGACGGAGGAGCGGGGCACGGAGGGAAGGCGGCGTGGAAGCTATGTGGGTGAGAAAGGGGCCGCACCCGCCTACAGGGCGTGGAGCCAGCGTCTTAAGAGTCGGCGGCTCCAGGTTTCCTTGTTCTAAGACCCAGTGTTCTTAAAAGAGGAAGTCGTCATTGGCTCGCCCCCAAGATGGGGGAGGGGGCTTCAGGGCATTTTCAGTCTTTGCGGCGTTATGTACGGGTGGTGGTGGGGGGCAGGGCTAAGGTTCAGCCCGGGGCGCGGGACCACGTGTTCGCTATGCCGCAGAAGAGACCCTCCTTGCTGGGTTTTCTGTCTGCGGCGGTCTCCGCTGTTGGCAAGGCAACCTTACTGCAGCACTTTACGCTTGCTGTGACTCTCCCGCGTGATTATTTCTGACAAGGGCAGTTTCTTGGGTGAGATGCTAAGTATAATTTTCAGAGTGGTCATAGCAGGTTGCGTTTACTTGGTAAATGCCTTAGTGCTTAATCCGCTTTTTTTAACCACGTGTTTTTTTTCTTTCTTTAGCAACCATGTCTAAGGGACCTGCAGTTGGCATTGATCTTGGCACCACCTATTCTTGTGTGGGTGTTTTCCAGCACGGAAAGGTGGAAATAATTGCCAATGATCAGGGGAACCGAACCACCCCAAGCTATGTCGCCTTTACTGATACCGAACGATTGATCGGTGATGCTGCAAAGAACCAGGTCGCAATGAATCCCACCAACACGGTTTTTGGTAAGCTTTAATTGTAATGTGAATTTGAAGGATTTAGGCACTGTGTAATTTGGGAAGCTGTTACTGTTAAGTGTGAGGCGGCCATGAAGTCCTTGAGAATAAGAAAAAACCTGTAGGAAACTTGATTATCCTTTTAAAATCTAATTGTATCATGGGTATTCAGAAGTTGAATCCATTTAATTATATGAACTTGACAGGCATTTAGTCAGGGTGATGGGTTTTTAATGAAAAGATGTTGTACAATGGAATTCAGGGTAACAGTATTTGATATCTTTGATAGATGCCAAACGACTTATTGGACGAAGATTTGATGATGCTGTTGTCCAGTCTGATATGAAACATTGGCCCTTCATGGTTGTGAATGATGCTGGCAGGCCTAAGGTTCAAGTAGAATACAAGGGAGAGACAAAGAGTTTTTATCCAGAGGAGGTGTCATCCATGGTCCTGACAAAGATGAAGGAAATCGCAGAAGCCTACCTTGGGAAGGTGAGCCACATACTGCAGGAGGATGTGGAGGTTACCAGATTTCTTGGGACTGTGGGGTTCTGGCTGACTCAAGGGTGAGTAGTAAAACTAGAATGGTGAAGGTGTATCTTTGCATATCCAATTTGTTTCAATCTTTTTTTTGCTAGACTGTTACCAATGCTGTTGTCACAGTACCTGCCTACTTTAATGACTCTCAGCGTCAGGCTACCAAAGATGCTGGAACTATTGCTGGTCTCAACGTACTGCGAATCATCAATGAGCCAACTGCTGCTGCTATTGCCTATGGCTTAGACAAAAAGGTACATACATGTTTTATGTATGTCTGAGTCAAAACTGATTTGAGTCCTCACAAACATGAAAATAAGTTAAATGTATTTTAACTTTCAGGTTGGAGCAGAAAGAAATGTGCTGATCTTTGATCTAGGTGGTGGCACTTTTGATGTGTCAATCCTCACTATCGAGGATGGAATCTTTGAGGTCAAATCTACAGCTGGAGATACTCACTTGGGTGGAGAAGACTTTGACAACCGCATGGTCAACCATTTTATTGCAGAGTTCAAGCGCAAACACAAGAAGGATATCAGTGAGAACAAGAGGGCTGTCCGTCGTCTCCGTACTGCTTGTGAGCGTGCTAAGCGCACTCTCTCTTCCAGCACCCAGGCCAGTATTGAGATTGATTCCCTCTATGAAGGAATCGACTTCTATACCTCTATTACCCGTGCCCGATTTGAAGAATTGAATGCTGATTTGTTCCGTGGCACCCTGGACCCTGTGGAGAAAGCCCTTCGGGATGCCAAGCTGGACAAGTCTCAGATCCATGATATTGTCTTGGTTGGTGGCTCAACCCGCATCCCCAAGATTCAGAAACTTCTCCAGGACTTCTTCAACGGGAAAGAACTGAATAAGAGCATCAACCCTGATGAGGCTGTTGCGTACGGTGCAGGTAATCTCTTTAAACAGCAGTTAGGAGGCCTAAGCTAAATTTCGCTGTGATGAATGATTTTTAAACATTCGTAGTTTCCACCAAAAGCTTTAGCTAGTGATGGCAAAACTTCCTTGGATGTCTGAGCGATTGAGAATTGTTAGTAAGATAATGAGTTCAACTGTGGTTTTCCTTAAAAAATAATTTCCTTTTTATAATATAGCTGTTCAGGCAGCCATTTTGTCTGGAGACAAATCTGAAAATGTTCAAGACTTGCTGCTGTTGGATGTCACTCCTCTTTCCCTTGGAATTGAAACTGCTGGTGGAGTCATGACTGTCCTCATCAAGCGCAACACCACCATTCCTACCAAGCAGACGCAGACTTTCACCACCTATTCTGACAACCAGCCTGGTGTGCTCATTCAGGTAAGATGGCTCAGTTTGGCTTACTTGAGCTGCTATAAAATTGGGCAGGATTTGTTCTGCTGTGATGATGGATTCCAAAACCATTCGTAGTTTCCACCAGAAATCCTGTGTTGGCCAACTCCTTCCTTGGATGTCTGAGCGATCAGTCTTGCCTAATCCAGCTTATCCAAATTTAAGCTAACAGAGAAACCGAGTTTTCTTCTGTAACATAAAATGTAATTTCTATAGGTTTATGAAGGTGAGCGTGCCATGACCAAGGATAACAACCTGCTTGGCAAGTTTGAACTCACAGGCATACCTCCTGCCCCACGTGGTGTTCCTCAGATTGAAGTCACTTTTGATATTGATGCCAATGGCATTCTCAATGTCTCTGCTGTGGATAAGAGCACAGGAAAAGAGAACAAGATTACCATCACTAATGACAAAGGTGAGTTTGGGCTACATATTGTGTGTGTAGTGAGATCTGGTTTTAAGAGGTTGGAGTTTGGGTTTTATTTTCCCAAAAAAAAGTGTTTCCTGAAGAGTATTTAGCCAAGCGATCACACTAAGCGGAGTTGCAGGGTAGTAGTTAATTCTTGCATAAAAGATTGCACGTAAAACACTGCTTAATCTTGCAGGCCGCTTGAGCAAGGAAGATATTGAACGCATGGTTCAAGAAGCAGAGAAGTACAAAGCTGAAGATGAGAAGCAGCGGGATAAGGTGTCTTCAAAGAATTCGCTTGAATCCTATGCCTTCAACATGAAAGCTACTGTTGAGGATGAGAAACTTCAGGGCAAGATTAATGATGAAGACAAACAGAAGATTCTTGACAAGTGTAATGAAATAATCAACTGGCTGGATAAGAACCAGGTTTGTAATTATTATTGCTAGAAACTTGAGGGTGCGGGGTTTTGTGTCTTAAGGGCTTTAGCAAAAACTTGGGTTGGTTTTATAAATTGAGGTCACAATGATGAATGGTCCAAAACATTCGTGGTTTCCACCAGAACACTAGGTGTTGGCAATTCCTTCCTTGGATGTCTGAGTGACCCAAGACCTCCAATGTAACCTAAATGCTGTTTAGTGTCAGGTTGATTGTATCGAACTTAACCTTCTATTTAAACAGTCTATGGTAATAGAATGTTATTTCTTTTTAGACTGCAGAGAAGGAAGAATTTGAACATCAGCAGAAGGAGCTGGAAAAAGTCTGCAACCCCATCATTACCAAGCTGTACCAGAGCGCAGGAGGCATGCCTGGAGGAATGCCAGGAGGAATGCCTGGTGGCTTCCCTGGTGGTGGAGCTCCTCCATCAGGTGGTGCCTCCTCTGGGCCCACTATTGAAGAGGTTGATTAGGCCAGCCTAGCATAGATCTAGCATTGTTACACACAAAACATGGAAGGACCCAAATTTGTAGCAATTCCCGTGGCAGTTAAGAAGTTGAGCTGCTATAGTAAATAACTGGGCATTCTTGATACTTGAACATGGAATGTGTGTGCACATGGAAAAACATTGCACTTTACAAGCACTGTATTGTAAGTGGAAAAATGCAATGTCTTAAATAAAACTGTATTTAAAATTGGCACCATAAAGTTGTCTGACTCTGCTTATAAGGGTAGTAAGTGTTTGGCTTTGGGAATTATTTCTCTGGCTAAACATTATAACAGTATATTGTTAGATTGTTCAACCTAAAGGAATGCTTAAAGACTTTGAATTAAGGTAAAGTGGGAAAACAAACATTTCCATCACTATACTGTGACATAGTCTGCACTCTGACAGTGCTAAGTTTGTTACTACTGATGCAGTTTGAAGTGTAGATACTGATGCTTTGTGGTGTCAGGCAGCTCAAATGTTCAGTAACTCTTGTGGTTGACTGAAACAGTCTAGAAAACATTGAGGCAAAAACTGGGCAAGGAAATGGATAACAGGTCACAATCTGTGCAACTAGACCACCTTGCTGTGAAGCCCTGTTAATCTACTGGCAGAGGCTTTTCTGTTTCCCAACTTGAGGCTTAGAAGTTGGGTGTTGTGAAGCTGGCTGTTAAGGTTGGCATAGTGAGGGCC